ATTTGGGGAGTGGGTGATTATGGAGAGGGCTATGGGGACTGGGGTATGGGGTGAAGGAGGTTTGGGGTGAGTAGGGTTGAAGGGTGAGATTTGGGGTGGGATTTGGGGTGGTTTTGGGGTGTGGGATTTGGGTAAGTGGGCATTGGGGTTGAGGATGTGGTGAGGGGGCTTTGGGGCTTTGGGGAGTGGGATTTGGGTTGAATGGGCTCCGGGGTGGGATTTGGGATGGGGTTTGGAACGCGTGGGTTTGGGGAGGGGCTTTGGGGTGAAGGGGTTTTAGGGAGGGGGCTTTGGGGTGAGATTGGGGCGACTTTGTGGGATGTGGGTTTTTGGGGACGAGATTCGGAGGTAATCCATTGGAGTTTGGTGGCCGGGCTTTGGGGGTTGGGTTGTGGGATGGGTTGCCCAGGCTGCAGGCGTTTTTGGGGCCCGTTCCACCCCACACCTCTCACCCTACAGTCGGACTCGAGCTGGCGCCGTGAGCGCATCCTAAACGTCCCGCTGTGCCGCGAGGACTGCGAGCAGTGGTGGGAGGACTGCCAGGACTCCGCCACCTGCAAGGTCAACTGGCACAAGGGCTGGAATTGGACCACAGGTACCCAAACCCCCGACCCTATAGATGCCCGACGCCCCCCACCTCCCCGAAACCCACCTGTGTGCACGGCCCCCCGTCCCCCAGGCACCAACCAATGCCCTCACGGTGCCATGTGCCAGAAGTTCAAGTACGTCTTCCCAACTCCCGCCGATCTCTGCGAGAAGGTTTGGTCCCATTCCTACAAATACACCACGGAGCGCCGGGGCAGCGGGCGATGCATCCAGATGTGGTTCGACCCCATAGAGGGCAACCCCAATGTGGCCGTGGCACGGTATTACGCCCTCGGTCCCGCTGCCAACCTCCATCCCACACCCCTCGTCCTGCTGGCTCTGCTGGTCCCTGCCCTGCTGGGGGTCACGCCGTGGGGATGAGGGTTGAGGGCTCCCGGTGATGCTGTATGGGGAATAAAGTTTGGGGCTGTGGGGATGGGGGTCTGAGGGTGCCTGCTTTGTGGGGTGGGGGGTCTTCTTGTGTCAGCCCATAGGTAAGGGTTCTGGTCAGCAACGAGGGGCTCGTAGCCCACGTGGGGACCTCGTGGCCCCATCGTTGTAGCCCGTGTCCCTGTGGGATTACACACACGTGGGGACCCAAGGGTCACAACCTATGGGTCCTCTTGGGGCACATCCTACAGCCCAGTGGGTCTCCATGGGTCATATCCTACACCCAAATAGGTCACACCCTATGGGTCTCCATGGGTCACATCCTACAGCCGAATGAGTCACACCCTATGGGTCTTCATGGGTCACATCCTACAGCCCAATGGGTGTCCATGGGTCATATCCTACACCCCAATGGCTCACACCCTGTGGGTCTCCATGGATCGCATCCTACAGTTGAATGGGTCACACCCTATGGGTCTCCTGGTTCACGTCCCACTCCCCAATGGGTCTCCATGGGTCACGCCCTGTGGGTCTCCCATGGGTCATATCCTACAGCCCAGTGGGTCACACCTATGGGTCTCCATGGATCACATCCTACAGCCCAGTGGGTCACACCTATGGGTCTCCATGGGTCACGTCCCACACCCCAATGGATCTCCATGGGTCACATCCTACACCCCAGTGGGTCACATCCTATTGGTCTCCATGGGTCACATCCTACACCCCAGTGAGTCTCCATGGGTCATATCCTACAGCCCAATAGGTCACACCCTATGGGTCTCCATGGGTCACATCCTACAGCCCCCTGTGTCACATCCTATGGGGTCCCCTATGGGTCATATCCCACACCCCAATGTGTCACACCCGATATGTCCCCCATGGGTCACATCCTACACCCTATGGGTCTCCATGGGCCATATCCTACAGCCCAGTGTGTCACACCCCAATGTGTCTCCATGGCTCATATTCTACAGCCCAATGGGTCACATCCTATGGGGTCCCCCATGGTTCACATCCTACACCCCAATGGATCTCCATGGTTCACATCCTACACCCCAATGGGTCTCCATGGGTCACATCCTACAGTCCAATGGGTCTCACCCTATGGGTCTCCTGGGTCACGTCCCACACCCCAATGGGTCTCCATGGCTCACATCCTACACCTCAATGGGTCACACCCTATGGGTCCCCATGGGTCACATCCTACAGCCCAATGGGATCCCATGGGTCACATTCTACGGCCCGCTGTTTTCCCATCATAAATCCCAATGTTTCACAGCCTGTGGGTCCCCAAGGGTCACATCCCAAAACTCAACGTGTCATATGTACCCTCCGGATCCCCATGGGTCACATCCTACAGCCCAAGCATCACATCCTATGGGTCCCCATGGGTCATATCCTACACCCAAATGGGTCACACCCTATGGGTCCCCATGGGTCATATCCTACACCCAAATGGGTCACACCCTATGGGTCCAAGTGGGTCACATCCTACATCCCAGTGGTTCCCCATGGGTCACACCTCAGGTCCCCACGGGTCCCACCCTACATCCTAAAGGTCCACATCCTAAAGCTGTGCCAAAGTGTGCCGTGCTGAGCTGTGCTGTGTTACACCATGTGTTCAAAACGTGCTGTGCTGAACCAGGCTGAACCAGGCTGAACCAGGCCAACATGTGCCATGCTGAATGGTGCTGTGCCAAGCTGTGCCATGCCATACTGAGCCGTGCTATGCTGAGCTGTGCCATGCCATAATGAGCTGAGCTGAGCCATGCTGTGCCAAGATGTGCCATTCCATGCTGAGCTGTGCTGTACCATGCTGAGCCAGTCTCAGCCATGCCATGCTGAGCCATGCTGTGCCGAGCTGTGCCATGCCATAATGAGCTGAGCTGAGCCATGCTGAGCCGAACTGAGCCATGCCATGCTGAGCCATGCTGTGCCAAGCTGTGCCATGCCATACTGAGCTGAGCTGAGCCATGCTGAGCCAGTCTGAGCCATTCTATGCTGAGCTGTGCTGTGCCAAGATGTGCCATTCCATGCTGAGCTGAGCTGAGCCATGCTGAGCCAAACTGAGCCATGCCATGCTGAGCCATGCTGTGTTGAGCTGTGCCATGCCATGCTGAGCTGATCTGTGCCAAGCTGAGCCATTCCATACTGTGCCAATCTGAGCCATTCTATGCTGATCTTTGCTGTGCCAAGCTGAGCCATTCCATACCGAGATGAGCTGTGCCAGGCTGAGCCATTCCATACTGTGCCAGGCTGAGCCATTCCATGCTGAGCTGAGCTGATCCATTCCACGTGGAGCTGTGCTGTGCCAATCTGATCCATTCCATGCCGTGCCAATCTGATCCATTCCATACTGTGCCAACCTGATCCATTCCATGCCATGCCACTCTGATCCATTCCATACTGTGCCACTCTGATCCATTCCATACTGTGCCAATCTGAGCCATTCCATGCCGTGCCAATCTGATCCATTCCATACTGTGCCAATCTGATCCATTCCATACTGTGCCAATCTGAGCCATTCCATGCCGTGCCAATCTGAGTCATTCCATGCTGAGCTGTGCTGTGCCAATCTGAGCCATTCCATACTGTGCCAAGCTGATCCATTCCATACTGTGCCAACCTGATCCATTCCATGCCGTGCCAATCTGATCCATTCCATGCTGTGCCAATCTGAGTCATTCCATGCTGAGCTGTGCTGTGCCAATCTGATCCATTCCATGCTGTGCCAACCTGATCCATTCCACACCGTGCCAACCTGATCCATTCCACGCCGTGCCAACCTGACCCACCCCATCCCACCCCACCCCGCCGCTCCGTCCCACGCCGCCCCGCGCCGCCGCGCACAGCCGTTCAGTTCCGTCCCCGCCGTTCCGCCCCGCTCC